TGAAGAGGACTCGAAACACTGATGAAAATGGAAGACTACAGTCTTCAGTATGCATTACATCCCAACATAAAGAAAACAAAAGTCCTTTCAAGTGGATCAATAAACAATGTCATGATAAATGGAGAAAAGATCCAAGTTGTCAAAGATTTCATTTTACTTGGATCCCCAGTTAATACCCATGGAAGCAGCAGTCAAGAAATCAGACGTCATGTTGCACTGGGCAAATCTGCTGCAAAAGACCTCTTTACAGTTTCAAAGAGCAAAGATGTCACTTTGAAGACTAAGGCACACCTAACCCAAGCAATAGTATTTTCAGTCACTTCACGTGAAAGCTTTTGAGACCCACATTTGCTGATGTGGCACATCTTGAGATAGAAGAAACAGCTGCAAACACCCATTAATAATCAGAACATGGAATGTACAAAGTATGAGTCTAGGAAAATTGGAAGTTGTCACAAATGAAATGGAATGCATAAAGATTGATAAAGATTGATATCTTAGGCATTAGTGAGCTGAAATGGACTGGTTTGGGCCATCGTGAATCAAACTACCATATAATCTACTACACTGGGAATGACAAATTGAAGAAGAATGATGTGGCATTCATCATCACAAAGAATGTATCAAGATCTATCCTTTAGTACGTTGCTGTCAGTGAGAGGATAATATCCATGGGCCTACAAGGAAGACCAGTTAATATTACTACTTTTCAAATTTACACACCAACCACCAAAGCCAAAGATGAAAGAATTGAAGATTTTTACCAACTTCTGCAGTCTGAAACTGACGGAACATGCAACCAAGATGTGTTAATTGTCACTGGTGATGGAATGCAAAAGTTGGAAATGAAGAATCACTGGTAGTTGGAAAATTTGGCCTTGGTGACAGAAATAGTGCTGGAGATCATATGATAGAATTTTGCAAGACCAATGACTTGCTCACTGCAAATATCTTTTTTCAACAACATATATGGCGGCTATACACATGGACTTTGCCAGATGGCGTCCACAGGAATCAGGTTGATTATATCTGTGGCAAGAAGCAATAGAGAAGCTCAATATTTTCAGCCAAAACAAGGCCAACAAGGAGTTGATTGGAACAGACCATCAACTGCTCATATGCAAGTTCAAGTTGAAGCTGAAGACAATTAAAAAACTCCATGCAAGCCAAAACATGACCTTGATTATATCCCTCCTGAATTTAGAGACCACTTAAAGAATAGATTTGATGCCTTGAACACCAGTGACCGAAAACCAGAGGAATTGTGGGATGACATCAAGAACATCATCCATGAAGAAAGCAAAAGTTCATTAAAAAGGAAGAAAAGACCAAAATGGATGTCAGAAGAGACTGAAACTTGCCCTTGAATGGAGAGTAGCTAAAGCAAATGGAAGAATCATCAGGATAATAGAGCTGAATAAAACATTTAAAAGAGCAGCTCGAGAAGACAAAGTCAGTTATTGTAATGGAATGTGCAAATGTGAACCTGGAATTAGAAAACCAAAAGGGAAGAACACGATAGGCATTTCTCAAGCTGAAAGAACGGAAGAAAAAATTTAAACCTCAAATTGCAATATTGAAAGATTCCATGGGCAATATGTTGAATGATGCAGGAATCATCAAAAGATGGATGAAATAACAGAGTCACTATACCAAAAAGAATTGGTAGATGATCATCCATTTCAGGAGGTGGCATATGATCAAGAACCAATGGCATTGAAGGAAGAGGTCGAGGCTTCACTGAAAGAATTGGTGAAGAACAAGGCTCCAGGAATTGATGGAACACCCATTGAGATGTTTCAACAAACAGATGCTGCACTGGAGGCACTCACTCAGCTACGCCAGGAGATTTGGAAGTCAGCTATCTGGCCAGCTGACTGGAAGAGATCCATATTTGTACCCATTCCAAAGAAAGATGATCTCACAGAATGTGGAAATTGTTGAACGGTATCATTGATACCACACGAAAGTAAAATCTTACTGAAGATAATTCAAAGATGAGTGCAGCAATATATTGACAGGGAACTTCTAGAAATGCAAACTGGATTTGGAAGGGGACATGGAGGGAGGGATGTCAGATGAATCTTGGCTCAAAGCAGAGAACACCAGAAAGATGTTTACTTGTGTTTTACTGAGTATGCATTTATTGACAAAGGCATTCGATTGTGTGGATCACAACAAATTGTGGATAACATTGAGAAAAACGGGAATCCCAGAACGCTTCATTGTACTCGTGAGGAACCTGTCTGTAGACCAAGAGGCTGTCATTCAAACAGAACCAGGGAATACTGCAACATTTAAAATCGGGAAGGGAGTATGTCAGGGTTGTATTCTTTCACCATACTTATTCAATCTGTATGCTGAGCAAATAATTTGAAAAGCTGGACTATATGATGAAGAATGTAGAATCAGGATTGGAGGAAGACTCATTAACAACCTGTGATGTGCAGATGACACTACCTTGCTCGCTGAAAGTGAGGATGACTTGGAGCACTTACTGATGAAGATTAAAGACTATGGTCTACAGTATGGATTACACCTCAATATAAAGAAAATGAAAATTCTTACAGCTGGACCAATGAGCAACATCGTGATGAATGGAGAAAAGATTGATTCGAGTCTATTGTTAGTCCCAAGGTCAGCAGAGCATGGCAGGTTGCTGAACCACGACACGGCTACATGCAGGGTTCAAGCGTGCCATAAGCTAGAGACCGTTCCCAAGACTGCTCCTTATAACAAGAAGCAGACCACATCCCTAAGGCAGGTATTCGGCTGCTCACAGTAGATTTCACCGTGGAGTTGATTACCAGTCTTATCATGGGGAATACTACATCCAGCTGCCCACCATTCAACCAGGCCTAGCCAAGTTGGCACACAAACTTAACTACCACAGGACCAATCCTGGAGAAGGATATCATGCTTGATAAAGACTCTACTTCCCATCTCATTGATCAATGAGATGGATTGATACAGTGGCTGTGATGATGGGCTCAAGCATAGCAGTGGTTATAGGGTGTCCCAGGACCAGGCAGTGTTTTGTTCTATTGTACATATGGTTGCTATGAGTTGGAATCGATTTGAAGGCACCTAACAACAACAGCAACATAGTAAACTTACATTTAATTTTTAAATAACTGCCAAACTATTTTCCAAAGTGACTACCATTTTCTATCCCCATCAGCAATTATGGAGGTTCCAGTTTCCACACATCCTCACCAGCACTTGGTATTATGTATTTCTATTGTAGTCATTCTGTGTGTATTTGTGTAATGGAAGCTCATGGTTTTAATTTGCATTTCCCTAAAGGCTAATGGATTGGCAAGGATTGTGAGGATGGCACAGGACCAAACAGCAGTTTGGTCTGTTGGACATGGGATCCCTAGTCGGAGCCGACTTGCTGGCACCTAACAACGACAAAGGCTGAGGAGGAGAAGCCCTGGTGGGGCGGTGGTTACAGTGCTGGTTTGCTAACCTAAAGGTTGTTGGTTGGAACCCACCAGCCACTCCACAGGAGAAAGATGTGGCAGAAAGATTTACAACTTTGGAAACCCTATGGGGCCGTTCTACTCTGTTCTTAGGGTGGCTATGGTCAGAACTGGCTCAAGGGCAGTGGGGTTGGGTTGGGTTTGAAAGGCTAATGATGTTGAACATCTTTTATGTGCTTCTAAGCCCCTCCTCGGAACGAAGGCTGGGCAATCTACTTCTGTAGTGATACGGCCTCAGAAACCCAAGGAGGGGTCGCTAGGAGTTGGGTCCAATTCGAGGGCACATCATAACAAAACAACAACAGTCCTTTATCAGATATATAATTTGCAAATAATTTTCTCCACTTTGTGACTTTTCTTTGAACGTCTTTAATGCTGTGTTTTTTAACACGAGTGTTAAAATTATTAAATCCCAGCTTTTTTTTTTTATATCTTCTTTTTTTTTTTTCTGTGCTGCTAACTCATCGCTTAACTGCAGGTCAGGAAGCTATCCTCATGTTTTCTTCTAGAAGTTTTGTATATTTGGCTCTTAGCATTTACGTTTGTGTTCCCTTTTGACAAAGTTAATTTTATGTATGGTGTGAGGTAATGGTCAAAGTCATTATTTATCTATTTTTATTATTAATTGTTGCATGTTGTCGTTGTTGTTATGTGCCGTCGAGTCGGCCCCAACTCATAGCGACCCCTCCTTGGGTTTCCGAGGCAGTATCACTACGGAAGTAGGATTGCCCAACCTTCCTTCCGAGGAGTGGCTGGTGAGTTTGAACCGCCAGCCGTCTGGTTAGCAGGCAAGTGACTTAGCCACTATGCTACCAGAGCTTCTCCTAGCCCCACTTGTTAAAGGATTGGGCAGGAGCACAGGGCCAGGCTGCCATGTGGTTGAAGAGAGTGGGGAGTGGGAGAAGCTCCTCGAGTTCCCTCCCTAAAGTTCCCTTTCTAGAGTCTCTCTAAACTCACACCGTCAATAGTGAGCAGGGAAAAAAGGGGACAATTGCGAGGAGCCTTGGTGTCCCGTCGGTTTCTTCTGGAGACCCATGGGCGGGCCTTTTCCTTGCTGCTTTCCGCGGTACTACGACTCCCAGCATGCAGCGCGCAGGACAGCCCTGCGCGCGGGGGAAGTCGGCCCCTCTGGCTGTGTGGCGCTCCGGAAAGGCTCCGTTCTAACTTTTCTCAAGCCTTTGGCCTCTGCGAGTGCCAACCAGGCCGACCCGCGAGCCAAGCGACATCCCCACTCAGACACGCTCCCCGCGTCTGCCATGCACCTGCCTCCCTAACTGGTCCAGAACCAACTTTGAAGCCGACCAATCGCAGCCGCCAGTGTTGCATGCTTGGCCAATCAGAGGCGAGATTGGAAGCCGGGGCGGGTGGCGGGAAGGGAAGAGCGTTCGTTTCTCCTGGACAGGGTGGGCTAGCCCGGCTGACTCCCCGAGGGAAGTGGGGGGCCCAGGCGGGGCTGCCCTGCTCGGGTGAACGACTTCAGTGGCCCCCCGGGGGTCCGGCCTAGCCTCGGCCACCATGTCCCAGGCCCCTCTGGACTCAGCGCCACGCTCCAGCCACCTGGACCTGTGGAGGGAGCAGAGTGACCAGCTAGTTCGTCAGGCCAAGGTGACGCCCTGGCTGGGCTCCTAGCCAGCCCCAGGCTCCCAGGAAGTGGGTGTGCAGCGGAATTACCCCCGCCTCTGGGAGCGGGCTGCGCTCGACCACCCGGAAGAGCCGGAAATGAGTGCCGAGTGACAGCCCCGCCAGGGCACACGTGACGCCTTCTCCCGCCTCAGCAGGTGACTCGGAACTCAGATGCGCTACGGACGCAGCAGCAGTTGGCTCAGGACGCCCTGCACGGCCTCCGGGAGCTCCTTCATCGTCTGCGGGGTGAGGGAGGGCCTTCCCAGGAGGGGCAGTTCCCCTCTGTCCCCCGAGACAGTTCCTTTTCCGCCTTTGTGGGGTTGAGGTCTGATCTCTCGGGGCAGGGAGTTCTGTTTAAGGCACAGACCGGCCTGCGTGGAACTTACTGTACAGGTGATTCCCTTTCTGCACGCGCGCGCGCACGCACACGGGGGCGTCCCCAGACGGGGTTCCTAGATGGTCGGTCTGACAGCTTGCTGCCCTTTGCAGGCCCTCCGTCCAGAGGGTGGGTTCTCTGTTGAAGCGAGGCGATCTTAGGCCTGGGACCTGATTTGGGCAGTGTTTCACAGGGGCATAGTCAGTGAGGCCGGCCTGTCCTGGTTCCCTAGTGCCGCTCCGACAAGAATGGACCACCAGTGGGACGCTTGGACAAACAGGAGTTTATTCTCTTACAGTTTGGAGGCTTGAAGTCTGAGTTCAAAGTACCGGGCTCTAGGGGCTGGGTGAAAGCCCCTCAGCCTTGGGCTTCAGCTCTGCTCCCCGCTCCTGGCCCACTGGAGCTGGAGGCTTTTCTTCACTCAGACAGCGGCTGGCTGCTGAGACTGACAAGCCCAAGGTTGACAAGTAAAAAGGCACAGTTCTGATGTTACCAAACCACATGGCAGGCCATTAATTCAAGTCCACTGTAAGTCCCAGGATTGGCAGAGCATGGCATGCTGCTGAACACGGCTCCATGCAGGGCCCAAGTGTGCCATAAGCTAGGGACCATTCTTCAAGGCTTCTGCTTATGTCCAGGAAGCAGACCACATCCCTAAGGCAGCTACTCAGCTGCTCACAGTAGATCCCACCATGGAGTTGATTACCAGTCTCATCACGGGCAATATTACATCCAGCTGCCCAGCCACTCAACCAGGCCCAGCCAAGTTGACACACAAACTTAACCACCACACCACCCCTGTTGCTCTAGGGCTTCCTGCGACTGTTTCACTTCTTCCCTTGGAGCTGACTGTCATGTGCAACTTGATCACCCTGAAAGTGAGTCATACCCAGGGCTTCAGTGAGGACCAGGCCCAAGATATCCACCAGGGCCTGAAGAGAGGTGAGCGTCAGGGACTGACACCATGCCCCTGCCAGCCACAGTCTGGGGTTAAGCCCTTTTAAGGGGATAGGAGAAACACCATACTGTCACCTCTACAATAGAGATGCCCTTCTGTGACCCTCTTTGTACCCTCAGACCAGGTTGAGGTGTTCTCATTGTGAACTCCGGGCTTCTGCAGAAGAGGAGGATAAAGGGGTGTGGAGGGATGGGGGATGAGGTCCCACTTCAGCTCTGTGTGTGTGTGTGTTTACAGTGCTTGAGGCCAGTGAGCGGCTAGAACCCAGGCTGGACTATGGGCTCAGGGAGCTGTGGGACTCTGTCCTCCGTTGTTCCTCCCTTCTGCCTGAGCTCCTTCCTGCCCTGCATCACTTGGCTGGCCTGCAGGCTGCCCTCTGGCTGAGCACTGACCATCTTGGGGACCTGGTCTGGCTGCTGCAGATGCTGAATGGCAGCCAGGTACTAGGGGAAGTGACCTGGACCTGAGGACCCCCTTCCCTGGTTGCAGTAGCATCATCAGGTGCTAGAGAGGCTGCTGGGTTGGTGGGCAGAGACCTGGAACTCTCGGGTGATCTTGTTCTGTTTGGGCCCTCATTGGGGGATTCTCTTGGGAGTGGCTTAACGATCTCGGGTAGGGTCAGGACTCTGGTGACCCTGCTCAAGTCATTTTCCAGCCTCAGTGGTACCAGTAACCCAGACATGGTACCTTGCCCCATGCCGTTACGGGCTTATCCTGAGTGAGAAGATGGACTAGAATGGAGCATCACGGCCCCTCCTCCCACCCTAGGTTTTTCGTCTTCTCTTCATCCTACCCCATAGCTATCTGTTTCTTAGAACTGAGGAGCAGAGATCAGAGGACCCTAGAGCTCAAGGCTCAGCTGGGGTAGACTGAGGCAGAAGAAGAGGTGGTTGTGGACTTGAAGCCTCTGGTCATCCCTCTCCCCGCAGAGCGAGGCCTCTGAGGATCTGCTGCTGCTTCTGAAATCTTGGAGCCCCCCACCTGAGGGGCTGGATGCACCAGTGAGTCTGCAGGATGCCCGGGGCTTAAGAGACGTCCTTCTGACAGCATATGCCCTCCGTCAAGGTCAGCTAGTAACCCGACTGATCCCTTGCCTCTCGCTCTGTCTCGGGCACCCTCTGGGTTTCTGTCTGTCGTGTCCTGTTCAGCCCCATGGGGCCTCTCTGGGTTCCTGTTCCCTGTCTTCCATCCTGCCCTATGGACTTCTCTAAGCTCATAACCTGATTTCCCTCAGGCCTCCAGGAACTGACCATAGGGAGCCTACCCAGGGCACTAAGCAGTCTGCAGGAAGCAGCATGTGGTCTGTGTTCACGGCCTGTGTTGGTCCAGGTGTACACGGCGCTGGGGGCCTGTCTCCGTAAAATGGTAAAAACAGCCCCAGGGTTGGTCATGTTGGGACCCCATGAGTGTTGGGGACAGCTTTCTGCTTGGTGAGGGGAGCTGAGGCACAGTCCTGCCACTCCTCCAGGGCAGTCCACAGAGAGCACTCTTATACTTGGCTGAAGCCCTGAAAGGGGGATCCATTTGGGGTCCCCCGCTTCTGGAGGCCTCCAGGTTATATCGGCAACTGGGAGACACAGCAGCGGAGCTGGAGAGTCTGGGGCTGCTGGTCGAGGTGAGGGGCAGTGCCAGGTGAAAACGCGGTACCTGCGCACTCAAGTGCTGTTGTTGGGTGGCCTGTCGAGGCTCGGGTATAAGGTTCCTGAGGCCTGCCAATCTCCTTCTTCCTTTCTGTCCCCTTTAGGCCTTGTGTGTCCCCCAGAGCTCTGAAGCCCCTCAGCTTCTCATTGAGGTGGAGCTGTTGCTCCCCACACCGGGCCCAGACTCACCCCTTCGGTGTGGCACGCAGAGCCAGGCCAAGCACCTGCTAGCAAGCCGCTGCCTACAGACAGGCAGGTGAGGTTCCCCCTTGCTCACTTGAGCGCCTCCTGTTCACCTCTGACTCTGACGTCTTCCCTGGGTTGTGACTCTGCTTCTGTTCTCGGGATTAGGGGAGGGAGCAAGAGGTAGTGGGACACACAGACTCTTACTCCTTGGCCTCCTGCCTAGCTGCTGGGCCTGAACTGAGAACCTTCCCCCAGGCACCCCTGTGTCTTTAAAACTCTGAAGCCTCCTTCCCAGTCCATTCTGTAACCAGGGAAGATGTGCTGAGCCAGGGTAGGAGCCCCAAGATGCTGCTTCCCCAGCCCCCGGGGAAGACGCTGCTTCCCTAATCCCCCCCGTTAGCTGAGGGAACACTGGAGCCCCTGGAGGCTGATGGAGCCTCGTTGCCTGTGACTCCTCAGGGCCAAGGCCGCTGCCGAGCACTACCTGGACTTGTTGGCCCTGTTGCTGAATGGCTGGGAGCCACGGGTGGGTGTGCCGTCAGGTTCTTCACAGTCGGGAGGGTGGGGCCGTGGAGTGGAGCCGGACTGCCCTTTCCGTGTCTGCCTCTGCAGCTGGGTTTGTCCCGTCTGGGTGGTGGGGCGGCGTGGGTAGAGACCAGACTGGGATGGCTTCCTAGAGCAACAAGCAATGGGCGGTCTTTGCGTGGTATGAGAACCTAATGAAGAGGTCAGGGAAGGTGGCTCATACCTCTTCAAGCCAGTATGCTTTGCTCCCACGCCAGCTCTCTGCACCCCCTGGCCCCCCAGGGCCCTGTATGCCTGAGGTGTTCTTGGAGACAGCAGCGGCACTGATTCAGGCGAAACGAGCCCAGGACGCTCTGACTGTGTGTGAGGAGCTGCTCGCCCGAACATCATCGCTGCTTCCCAAGATGCCCTGGATGTGGGAGGAGGCCAGAAATGGAGCCCAGCAGCCTATACAGTGCCCACTCTGGGTCTCTGCCACCTACCTGCTTCAGGGCCAGGCCTGGGTGCAATTGAGGGCCCCAAAAGAAGCAGTTAGTGAATTTAGTCGGTGAGTTCAGGGAGCCCTGGGGAAAGTGTGGGGGATGGTTTTCTGATTGGGACCAGAGTCGGGAGCTGGGTCCTCACCCCACTGCCCCAGAGTTTCTTAGGTTGCACCTCATCAGCTCCACTCCATGTACTGCTTCAGGTGCCTTGAGCTGCTCTTCCGGGCCACAGCTGAGGACAAAGAACAGGGTACCTAGACTTCATGTCCTCTTCCCTCCTGGAGGTGGGAGCGGCGCAGATGAGATCTCTTTCCAGATGCCCCAAGCCACCAGGACACTTAGGGAAGGGGACTCTGGGCACAAGGGGAAAGAGGGAGGGACATGAGGTTTTGGTGACTGTGTGGCTGAGGAGCCACTTCCTGACTTTGAGCATGGTCCCTAGGGGCTGCTTCCAGCTGTGAGCAGAGGTGCAGAACAGATGTGGTACTGCAGCGGCTTCGGTTAGCTGCCCTGATTAGTCGTGGACAGGAATGGGTGGCCAGCGGGCAGGATACCAGAGCCCTGCAGGATTTCCTCCTCAGTGTGCAGGTGTGCCCAGGTTCGTATACTTGCATGACATCAGATATGCACAGATGTATGTGGACAGAGAGGCCCGGGGAAGGTGTTGGGACTGTAGAGGTGGTCTTCCCAGATAGGAAGAGCACGTATGTGGGGTTGTGCTGTGTAGGGATGTGACCAGGTGTGCACAGACAGGCAAACATACATGTAGAGCCCTCAAGAGTTCCCAGGCCTTCCCAGTGTCCTCAGACCCAGACATGGTCGGGGGTGGCTTGGGTAGGAGCAGTGCCGGCTGACCCTTTTGTCCTGGGCAGGTGAAGAAAGACAGCTTCCAGATGTGTGGGTGATGTTCAAGGTGGGCCTTGGGATGGGAATGGTTGGAAATGAGCTATTTCTAGTTCCATGTGTGACTGGAGGCCAGACCCTTCTCCCCCGGCCTATGGAATGCTTCCTCAATCCCTATCAAGCTCAAGGCTCTCTCCTGGGTGGGGACAGGTGATCAAGATGCTTCCTTTCACCTGCTTCAGACTCTGAGGAGGCTGGGTCGGAGGGATGAGGCCACTGCTCTGTGGTGCAGGCTGGAGGCCCAGACCCAGCTGCCACAGGGGGACACCCCAAGGTGAGGCTGCGGGCTGAGAAGCTCTTGAGGTCCTGGAGCCTGTGGGGGTGGTGGGGAATGAAAGGGATGGGACAGTTAGTCTGCACTCTGCTGCACCTTCCTTCTTGCTCCCTAGGTCTCTCCCCCTTTACCTGGAAACCTGTTTGAGCTGGATCCGCCCCCCGGACCGGGACACCCTCTTGGAAGAGTTCCGGACATCCCTGTGAAGACTCCTAATCTGTGGCTTCCATGTTTCGTAGACCAGCTTGAGGGGAGGACTTCTTCCTTCACCATCTTTGGGAAGTGTGACTGGAGCTTACCATTCGTGTATAATTCCAGCATCAGAGAGGTTGCTGCTAGTCCTGCCACATTTGTCCTAGTAACTGCCATCCTGGTTCCAGAGGATGTGCCCCCACCCCCACCCCAAACAAGACACTGACTTTGCTTATAGCACCTTTTATTCCTATTTCCCTTTTCCTTATGTTGAGTAAAATGTCATATTTCTTGTCTGCCTACTGTATATACTTGAGTGGAAAGGCTCCCAGGTTCTAGATTCAGTTAAGTGATGGTGTGTGTTAGGTTGGGGTCTCTAGAGAAGCAAAACCAGTAAAGCTTATATAGAGAGACAAAGAGAAATTTATCTTTGGAAAATGGTTCACATACTTAAAGAAGCTGGCAAGTCCCAAGTTCTTGGAGCAAACGTCAAGCTGGAGGCTTTTCCCGACTCACGCAGCTGCAGGGGCTGACGAGCTTAAGGTTGGCAGGCAGTACACCGGCTTTTGACTCCAATGAATGACAAATCCAAGATCTCCAGGCCGAACGGTGGATTGTTTGCTCACGGACAGTTGTAGGCAGCACAACAGGATCCTGATCCACAAAAGAGTGTCTCTTTTCCCAGGATGTCCATAAATATATTGGAAGCAGGCCACACCCCTAGGGAAACTCCCTTTCAATGAATTGGCTGCTCGAAACATACATCCGATCTCATCATGGGAATAACCCACATCGCAACTGCTTAACCCACTTAGAATTGTGGCCCAACCAAGTTGATACACAGTTCCAGCTATCGCATGGTGTCTAAGATGCCCCTTCCCTAACATCATCTTCCACCTTAGGAGTTTGAAGTCTGGGGCTGAGGAAGGGGCTCCTGAAGTCATTACTCAGGAGGCAGAGGCTTTAGTCCTTCCATTGTCCAAGAGCAGTCCAGGAGTCTGTGCTAGGTGACAATGAGCAATAATGGGTCGGGAGGATGGGCTGAGCAGCCCTCCTAGAACAGGGCTGGGTGTTTGACACTGAGAGGAGGGACAGGCAGAACTTTGAGTCTCAGAGTGACTCCCACCCTCTCCCTAATCCCAATTCTAGAGTTGGACCTGTTTCAGTCAAGGTGTCCACGTGGGTAGGGAATGGACAGTGAGTTGAGCCCACAGATTAGTCAAGAGGTGCCTAGTGATCAGAGTCAAGGTTGGCTGGCATTTGTGGACCAAGGATTGTTAAGTCCCAGTGTGCAATTTTCTTGATGCTTTGGGTTCTAATGAATTGGACGTGTGTTCTGTGTGTCCTTTGACCCTTCTCTGAAACTGAGTTCCCTCCCTCCTGTTGTTGATGTTATTGTTATGTGCCGTCGAGTCATACCCAACTCATAGCTATCCCCCAGGTTTCCGAGGTAGTATCACTACGGAAGTAGATTGCCCCATCTTCCTTCCGAGGAGTGGCTGGTGGGTTTGAACTACCAGCCTTCTGGTTAGCAGTCAAGTGCCTTAGGCACTATGCTACCAGAGCTCCCTCCCTCCCTCCTACAACGATTAGTATTGATACAGTGGTATGGGGAACACACTCCCAAGCTCTAATGAACTTGAAGTGTGCATCCTTGGGTTATCAGAAGATGCAATGGCAATAGGGTGGGGTAAACTTCATACCATTGGTGACAGATGCCAGCGTTTTGAAGGAGCAAGGAGAGTTGCAGAACTAGGTTCACAGGTTAAGGTGACAGGAAAGACTAGGTGGTGATAGAGGAGTCTCAGGTTTTGAGAGAAGGTGGGCATGTGGGTTATCACTACAGCAGTACTAAGCTAATGTTGGTTGCCGAGCAGTCGATTCCTACTCGTGGCGACCCCATCTGTGACAGAGTGGAAGTACAATCTATTGTGCCTGGTTCTTGCTGGATGATAAGCACCGGAGCCAATGAATTAGAGCCAAGTGGGAGAGTCCGCCCCCAGGTATTAAAGGTTCGCCCTTCGCCAGTCGATCTGGCTCCGTTCTTTTCGTTGATTGGCCGAGATTTCCAATCCGTCGAGGAAGCGTAGCATTGCGGCTAATTGATTTGGCGTTACTAGGCGAGTTGCATCCCAGAGGCGGGAGTCAGGCCGAGAGCGAATTTCCTGATTGGCTCTGCTCCGCGGGTTGCTGGGGAGAGGCGCGGAGAGGCGGGCAGGGGTCCCCAGCGCAGGCGGTGATTGGCTGACGTGAGAGCGGCTCTCCTTCCGATGATTCGGCTCTTCTCGGCTCAGTCTCAGCGAAGCGTCTGCAGCCGTCGTTGGAGTTGTCGCCGCCGCTGCGCTCCTCGCGGATCCGGGGCCAGCGTCTCCCGCCGGCTCACCGCCCAGTGCCCCTGGGAGGAAGTGAGAGGGAGGTCGCCCGCGGGCTGGTTTCCGCTGCTCAACCCCCGCCTGCAAGAGCCGAGCCCCGGCCCAGTCGGTAGCCCGCTGCCCCTCGTAGCCGTTACCCACGGGCCGCCACAGC